CCAGGGACCCAATGTTCAAATAAACAGTTTTTTAAACCCTGCTTAACGTTTTTCTAATAGAGATGTAAAAAATGGACTTTTCTGACATTTTATAATGATAAAATGGTGCATAACTATGTACTAGGCCCAACATTCTTACCATGAAGGGTGAGTGATTCCAGGTGAGTAAGAATCAAGCCAAAATATATTATTGATTTCTATGAAAATCAAAGGTGTCTTGTAATTATAAAAATAATGTTCATATCTGGAAGCTGCATTATAATAAAATCTGATAAGTATATCCATATATGAAACAAAAGGTGTGGCCTTATTATATTTTATGTTGTTAACGTTTGCATACAACTGGCAACATCTTGGGCAACATGTAATAAGTAGTTCCTACAAGAGGCGTATAGACCGAGGCAACATTCATGAGTTATGAGTATTGGTTGGAGGATTTTTATCCCTGATGAACAGGGTCGGCTTAGGAATCAAGATCACCAACTCCATCGTCTTGTAATTAATTTCGGGACGTATTTAATCCATGCCTAAATAGTTGCTGCTGCTGGAGGATTTACATGTGGCATATTCCTGTTATTTTTATACAGTAAAACGGAAAAACTAAATCGTCACTACCGAAAATACGTCCATATGCGCCTGCAATATTATACTTCCTGTGTAATGTTTACATCAGACACGTTAACACGCTGAGGATTCGCTTTTTAGATACTTAACCAATAGTTTATTAACACCTGTCACACACGGAAATCAGTTTACAAGTAAATACTGAATTATTCAGCATTGGGCAAATATCTACATAGTACTTATGTATTAGTATGTTATACATACTATATTGGTTACCCTTGCACAATAGTGGGGTAAATAAACAGGTACCTGAATTTGGATCGGTGCACATGCAAAATCTTCCGCAAACACAAAATGATAGGATTGTCACAAGCCAGGCAGAGCGGGTCTACTTTACAATGCATTATGATTTATATTACCTAGAAATTATAATACTCATAGTATTGGTACTGTAATAAGTGCGTTCCTATCTTTTATTTTGTTGAATGATTGTAAATGATAAGAATTATTAAAAGTCACCTCTGAGGGAATACAAATCCTCGGAACATTAGTCATGTGCCTTTCATATTTAGACATTTAGAGTAGCTATGGATAGATTTCACTTATTTAATAAGTGCTTTCTAACATCTATGTAAAAACCCTAAATTTAGTTGTTAATGTAAAAAAACTTACCTGTTGTTTGTCTATCACTAAGACCATCCGAACTGGTATCCTTAGCAGTATCTGAAGCAGACACTGTTCTTTCCCTTTCCCATTCTTGTTGTATCCCAGAATAGCTGACCTGATCATTATTATAACCACTATCAGCTGCACACAGACTCGAATAACTTGTACTAACTGGTGGCAGTCGTTGAGATACAGAATATAAAGCTCCCTGGCTAGAGGACAACTCTTCAGTTTGAGCATAGTCATCATGTGTTCTGCAAAATATTTAGTATTAAAGCTACGAACAAAGGCTTGGGTATTTTTTTTTAAAGTTATGTCAAAATCTCAGCCTAGATATAATAGTTCCAATCGCCTTTTTTAATTTAACTTTAATAGTCTGACATGAAATTACAGCCTTTATTGTAGTAGTGGATTAAGAATCGGAATTTAGGCATTTTGTTGCCGGGAGATCGGATCCTGGGCAAAGTTAGATCTTTCTTTTATGATTTTTTGTTTTAACAACACTTGACTTATTTGAATTTGTGATGAGGTTGTAGGACCCTCTGTGCAAAAAAAAATAATGTATATACCATGGGACCAAAGTACTTGTTAATTTTAATCCCTCAGGTGACTATATTATTGACCTATTATTGACTAACTAATGTCAAACCAGCGTCAAACACTCAAGTAATAATGTAATTGTTTGTTTTCAACGCCGTTAAAAGTATATTCGCCTCAAAAAATCGTTTATTTTGCTGGATAAATGCATAGTTACTTTATTATTATTTATTAATAGTTTTAATATTTTTTTTGTATCTGGCACATACAGGTGGTTGGTCATCTAGGTGCCTTTAAATGACTCGTATAAAAAAATAATGGTATTATCAAAATTGAGCATATAATGTAAATTTTATAAATAAATCTATCTATCTTTATTGCCTGAGTTACGGTCCAACTAATATGTGCCCGACACAACGACATATTTGTTAATGTTTCCTGTTATTGTAATTGGGATAAATATAAATATTGCTAATTAATTGGTAACAATATATATAGTATTAAGTAAACGTAGTTGACATTGTTAAAATTATAATAATTAAATATTTAGTTTAGAAATACTTTTTATTTCAAATTCATTTGGTCCAATTCAAATGCGACTAGGCTCATTATGTGGAAAAAAAGATAAACCATAAAATATTTTGAAAATCCTGAAAGGTTTTTGCGATTTTCCACTAATTTGCAAGAGTGGAGCTCGGTTCTTGCACCCACCCCTTCAATTATTATTGTTTATTCTAACCTGTATTGCTCCACTATATAATCGGAATTTTGTGTGCTGTACACTCTGTTTCGGTTAAATTCGATTGGAATAACAGTAACGTTATAATTACTATTGGACTGCAAGACAATTTGTTGAGCTTCATTTTTTTTCAGAATTGACAATGTCCATTTTTTCTTGTGTTAATATAATTTAAACTTTAATTATGTTCACCATTGAAAAAGACTGGAATAAAATAAGTGTTCCTGGAAGTATTTCCTAAAATTTTGTCATACATTTTATTATGACACAGGATTTTATAATGATTATATACTTTATAAAAAATGCACATATTATTTGAACTGTGTTTGAACTTTACCAAAAACCACAGAATATCTAGATCTACTAAAAAAGACGGAAGTCGGTCGATCGATAACCACCAAATTGTTCTCTTCTGTGTAGATAACCTATCTATGACTATGAAGATAACTTATAAATTACCAGTGTTGCCAATCAATTAAAAAAAACTATTCCTTTTATGGGCGTCAAGTTCAAGAATTTAAATTTAAGGCTGCTTTCCAATTGCTTTTAACTACTGTTCTGCTTTTAAGCTCGCTAAGATGTTATCAATTGGAACGTCGATCTTATTAATATTTTAATTAAAACTTACATTAACCAAGTAAGTGATTCTCCGTGCGTAAGTAAAACAAGTATAGTGTGTATATCTGTTCTTGAGGTATAAATCAAAGAACGTCAAAATAACTATAACCTATAACCTACGGATGATATGTACCAATCGAAAAATATCATACGAAAATATTCGTAAACGAATGAAATATTCGAAGTAAAAATAGTTCAAGAATATCACATTTCAAAAATCGTACGAAACTTTACCATTTTTCGCATACGAATTGCTTCGTACAAGTTCGAGTGTAAGCGCAGCCCAGGCTAGAAATAGCACTCAGTGCGCACTAGTGCAAAAGTTCGAGTCGTCTACTGGTTTAACCCAGAGAGTGAAGGCAATCGAGAACACTATAAACAAATACCACATTCGCACGTATCGTGAGATACACCATAGAAAAGATATCAATTTGGTTTTCTGAGTACACTTGCCACAGTCAACAAGTGATTCGCTATAGTTTACAGAGTGCCTGAAAGGGCTAACAAATACACATTACGATACGTGCTCACATTTCACAAATTTCAGGCCTTGCCAACACTGTTGAGGGCAACGAAATATATAAACGTAGTTGGGTTTATGTCACCCTGGTACTTATTAACAAGCACAATTGTGGTGCCTCGTGTATACTATTAATAATTATGAAATAGCAGTAAAAATAAATTAAATATAGTACATATTTGCGTTCTCCAGCTGTTTTCTTTGGCGTGCGGGGATCGATTCCGATCGATCCGAAGTGAAACAAGTGTTTCTTTGAGAAAATCACTTCACCCCACCATCGGAATTTTTGTTCTAGATCACTTACATGTATATGTATACATGTACCAGTTAGTTCGAACTAAGCAAGATCGAACTAAAAGAGAATAAGTTCGATCGTAAACAGCTTTTAGTTTGGACTAACTTGTCAGTCCCGTCTTAGTTAAGTTCGAGCTACAAATGTGAGCTTGCGCCGGTAGTTCGGTTCCAAAACTAATGTGAATGTTTAATTGAAACAGGTCTTTACCAACATCCTAAAATGTATTAAAGTTCTAACTTCAGATTTGAGTTGTTGAATTGTTATTTCGTGGTTTTTGGATAATCAAGAATCGAAGCCATCAATCATCGCGAAATAAGTTTATTGATCCCCCATATATCTCTTATCTATGTTTATTGATGTTGCTGCCAATTGTTAAATTTGTTTTGTTGGCAATAGTGTATCTTGTGTCATAAAACGGTGTGTCAACGTGTATCTATATACAGACAAGTAAAGTGATCTTTGCTAACTAATTCTGCAATTTCAAACAATCAGATGGATCAGTTCAGTGTTCAGTGATCGGTTATATTTTGGTTGAAGTTTAATTTGTTGAATTGAGGTTATTGAAAACATTTGATTTTTTTGAATGCACTGCATGTTGGGATTATTGGGTTCACTAGCATAGTCTATATAATTAATATTAATATTCTATATTAACATTCTGTGATCAATACGTGTTTGTTTATGGCACACATCTTCTGATCTGATTTTAGTGATTCGTAATTGATCTGAAACAGATTTGATAATTACCAAAGAAATACAGCTCTTATATCGAATACATACTTTTAAATAAGAGTTGTTAAAAGCGAGGCAGAAGGCAGGATTAAGAGTGTCCAGCCCTTTGTTAAATTTCTTATTTGCTCTCTACGGAAAACCGACACTAACCTATTACGCCATAGAGAAAATACCTACTATCGCGTATTCAAATTAAGTTACCGAACTCAAATAAATACTACTAATAATAATAATTGGTAGTCAACTACTGATAAAAAATCGTAAATATTTCAAAAATAGCAAGGACTTTTACAATTTAAAATAGCTTAAAAACCTCAAAAAAAAAATATCGACGAGGATGGATTCGACCCGGGCAGAGCCCATTGGATTAGCAGTCCAACGCCTTTACCACTCGGCCACCTCGTCTCCATGAAAATTTTTTGATTATATACTTATAACAGCAATTATTGTAGATATTCAGATAAATTCAAATTTTTATTTAATTAAATAATTTCCCTAAATGTAAATCATAATAATATAAACAAATATTGTAAAACTGTACTTGCTATAAGTTTTGTTCGAATAGAAATATTAATCATTTTATTATTGGAACATTGAACATGAAATAATTGCGTAAGATTAATTTTAAAATTGCTTGCACCCTGTTTCTATAACAACAAAAGAAAAAGCAAAACAAAACAGAAGTGCCATCTAGAACTTGATTAGATTTATTATAAGGTGGTGCGTGTTTACGTCATAATCGTATTCCTATAATGTTTTATATCAATTTTTGTCCTTGTACCAAGATAATAGTTTTAGGTACTGGAATGAAAAGGTGAGTAAATAATAATGATAATTAAATAATATAAAGGTAGCTAAGTAAAAATTAAAAAAAATAAAATCATGGAAGTATATACATTATTATTAAACATCATAAATATAGGTTCCACATACCCTTTATATAGGCAAATAATTTACAATACATGAGTAGATATTTACAAAATTTGAAATGCCTAAATTAATATATAAACAATAAAGTTAGTGGCGGCTCGTCAGGATAGGCAGTGAATTCCCTCTAAGAACAAAATTTAAAAAATGTAAAACTAAAGTTCAATTAAAAAATTTCTCAAAGTAGGTATAGGTATGGAAATATCTTCCACTTTTAAATTCCATTTATGTATTGTATAAAGGATAGAAAACAAATTTATTTCCACAAATAAAATATATGCGGAGTCAGTCTTCTTGGTCCGCCTATACGATCCCAACCGAAAGTGGCTGTTGTGCCAATCTGTTTTGATAGTTTAGCGTGTGCGCCCTTGGAAAGGCGGCATGCCATAGTAAAATTTTTTGAGAACATTTACCAAGTAATGTTCTCAAAAAAATGAAACGAAACGAAAAAAACTCGAATCCGATTTTTTTTTTTAATCATTATTTCAATTTTTACTTTTATTTAATTACTCGAAAACGTAAGATTCCATGTTCCAGTGATAAACAAAAAAAAAACAAATCCAAAAAACATAAAGATTGCAAAAAAAATATAAAAAAAATTATTTCGATTCGAGTTTTTTTCGTTTCTTTACATTTTTTTAGAACATTTACCACAGTAATGTATATTTTTTTTACACCATCAAAAAGTAGAGATTTCAACTGAACAAAAAGCCCACCGAAATCTTAAAAAAAGCGATATTTTGACGTGAGAATTTTCGATTGAAAATTAAGGTGCTTTTCGATATTAAGTCAAAATAAGATGAAAACCAAATATTTTAAATAAAAAAAATTACGTGTTTGGGACAAAAAAAAGTAAGTTTTTACCAAATTTCGTGAAAAATTTGGTTTTTGTAAAAGAAAAATAAAAAACCAAAAACTTGGTTATTTGAATTTTTCACATAAATTTTGGGGTTATGTGAAAAAAGTGTAAATACAAAAGTTGTAGATCTTTTTAATACCTACCTACAACTTTGCCATTTAACGTTTTTCCATAGAATTTGTCGTTTTGCCGGAAATCAAGATAAACCGTTTTTTACCCTTAAAACTCATCCCCTCCACTTCCCGACCTCGGATCGCTCGTAAATTATTTTTCCCTTCATTTTTGTCATATTCTCTTCCTTTTTCCAATGGGTTTCATCCTACTATTATTTTTTTCGGTTTCAAAAATTATCAGCACTAATCTAGATGTGCATCGCGCCGTCATGTTCGTTTTCTAGTTTTTTCTTATTTGGGTAGATGTGTGTTTTTTTGTTTTAAGAAATTATGTAAGTATACAATATTATTTGTAAAGTTTTCACCTCAATTTCTTTAACAGTTATTAGGTAAGTTCCGCCTGTAAAAAAAGGTTAATCGACATAATTTGTTCATTTATTTGCTGGTCGTATTGGTTATTATTAGTAATGAGGGGATAATATTTTGACTATACTATAGGCACAGAATATCCCTGGTATTCTGTGCTATAAGTAAGAACAGTAGACTCGATCCTGTCACTTCCTCCAACATCAACTAGCTGCTACCAATTCAAGTATGGCTAAGTACCTAACAAACTGGATCTTCAAAATTCGTGATGGGTTACAATCAACAACTATTGATTGATACTCCAATACCATTTTTTGTAACTGCACCAAGACTTGCAATTATAGGTAATTGTGGATAATATATAGGGTGGTCCGCTTTCGAATGCGGAAACTTCAGAGAACGATACAACTGTCTTCCTCCAAGACTATCTACCGGAGACCGCTCCAATAAGTAAACGCCTATTGCCTCCCAAATTCCTCGTTTTGAAGATACAGGGCGTTGAAGTTTTTATTTTTTAATGATTTTTAAATAATTCCCAAACGAATAACAACATTGTAAAAATTCCATAATAAATTTTTTTGTAAGAAAATTACAATAAAGAGAGTAGTTATGAGATCCTGTACACAAAATAAACTTGTATGTTATGTTATTTCTATAAAAGTAATGGCTCCTCAGTCAATCTTTTAATTCATCCAATTTTAACGTTCCAAATGTGTTATAAATTATGACCCAGATTTTGACCTATTCTATTGTGAGAAATGAGTAAAAGCAATACAAATTGCATTTTTCAACAATGCTTTCAGAAGCATTGGTTTCCATAGACATAAATAGCAAAACTACAACAGAATACTACACTACACTCTACTATTACGACTATTTATATCATCCCCCATTTCAATAGCTTTCAATGCCATCCACTTTTGCCGCCTTCCCCCATTTTGCTAATTTCATTATCCTATAGACCGAAAAAGAAACATGATTTTCGATTCGGTATGTTTACTACGCAGTACGCACTATACTACGCAAGTCAGTTGCAGTGTGAAATAAACATATCACCGATTCGGTTGTATCAAGAAGTTGCTAGTAAAAAAAAAGAAACAGTTAGGTACCTCACAAAGTATGTGTAGATCTGTGTAGGTGCATACCGAGTGGCGAATCCAATGAGGCGTCTATGGGGCTGCCCCTCCCCCTCTCCCCAGAAGCAAACTAAGGCAATGTTTTTGTATTATACTTGTTTCTGTTTTGACATATTTTTGTCCCATCATGCTCAAATCAATCTAAGCTGTTGATATCGTTATTTAAACATTTGAAATAACCAAATAAAATATCTAGGAATACGATCCTTAAAAGTGGACCAAAATAACCAAAGTTTGTTTCCAACATTTTGATTCTGTTACATTCTTTTACATGAAAAATAGAAAATTCATTTAACGTAAGCTTGTAAAATTTGTACTTAATTGAAATTTGGAATTGTTGCTATTTTTTATTTAAAATTAATTTGCGTATAACTTTGATAAGCGGTTGCATTTGTGCGTTGTTGCGATTGGTTTGGAAGACAACTGGTGAGGCAAAGCTATTTTAAAACAATTGCTTTGTTCTAGTCTCCTCTGATATTTAAAATATCTCAATTATTAATCGCCATCATTTTGTTTGTGAAATAATTATTAACAACTATTGAAGATGCCTATTATGTTTGTGACCCTTGATATTTGAAATCGGCAAAATCGCTGGCGAACGACTATGCATACAGACCTCCCCATGGGCGTCCGCAGGTGGCAGAAGGGAGGCTTTATCCCCCCGGTCATTTTTATAAATTAAAATTTTAAGAGATTCTATCATAATACAAAACCAGTTTATAATTTCACAATCGTTTTACTTTTAATCTGTTCTTGATTTTCCCCCTCTAAGAAATTTTCTTCAGATGCCCATGGACCTACCTACAGCAGTCTGGTGCCTATTTTGTGTAGATCTTCGAAGTTGCAAAGCAAGACAGTTTATTTGCAATGTTCGCGTGAGACATCACTTTACTTTCACATAATCGACGCCTGTTTATGTCATGAAGCCTTTGCACGAACACACATTTTCAGATTTTCAAGAACTTTTAATTTCCACTGTTGCTGCTGTCACGAAGATGGCTCGTCGTAAACATGACGGTTTGTGGAACTTTTTACGCTTTAATAATTAGCGCGATGATATTTAGGATTGAAGGTGGTTGAAACTGTCAAAATCGTGTTATTTTATGTCCAGTTCCAATTCTAGACGTTCACATATCGATTAAAAAACAATTTCCTATCAAAAAATTTTTTTTTAGGTTAAATATTTAATAATTTGTTAGGGGTAAAAAAATTTGGGCATTCAGCAATGGAATTCCGTACAAAGTAGGAGACATAAATAATTTGTCAAAAAATCTAAAAATGGTGTAACTTTCTTTTATAAGCTTAAACAACCACCAAGTTCAATTTCATACAAAAATATAATGGAAATTCAGTGTCTCAAATTGTTTTACTGGATTCTTTGTAGGCATATTTCAGTGTTTTTACTTTTATCATTTACAAATGCTATATCCACAGGCTCAAGATTATACTTTAATTATCACCTGCAGTGGAAGAGTCCAATATTTGAATTGATTTTCAAAGGCGTTAGTGTTGCAAGAAGCTTCATTGGAAGTTGGAAGGTTTTGGTTTACACCTGATTTTAGCAAGCTCTACTTAAATTATTATTATTGTAGATGATTTATTTATTATGCCACGCAAAAGGACCGATTTTTATGTTATATCATCTGTGGCTTTGGCGTATTCAAGCAAGATTGTTTTATATTGTGATTATTGCGAAACGATTTACCAAATGGTTTAGTTTAACTGTTTAGTGTTTCCTGTTTTAAAAATCATATTATACTTACACTAATATTTTTTGTTATAATATGTATACAGAGAACCGCAAAAAACGGCCACTGCTGTAGCACCGTTATTCCTTATCCGAGTTTCAAAAAATTCAAAAACCAGCTTAAATGGTCCAATATCTTCTATGATCTGATAGTTAAAAATATTTTTTTTATCATGATGCCTCGAGCGCTGATAGTCAACTTTGTTTTTTTAAATTGCAATCCATATTTATATCATTTTCGGATTCTTCCTTTTCTG